AGAAGGATTTTGTTTTCGGTACAGCCGGAGGATTCGATTGCATTCTTGGATGACAATATTGGAGATGTGTTCACAATAACCGCTTTGGTATAAAAGTACATCCATAGCCAAGTCAGAAATGAGGTTTCGAACAGCAGGTACACTGTTCAGCGTTATATCGGACAAGCTGGGGTAAGCATCATCCTCGAGAGCGTCCGCATCAGTGAGATCCAGTTCTTTTCTGTTCTGTCGGACTCCTCTGTAAGGAAAATCGAGAAGATGGCGCCAGCACCTGCGGAAATTAGCAAAAAGAAACCAGAGCAAGGGAGTCAGTCTCACACAGGAAGCACTTGAACACGGCAATTCTTATCGCTATCTGGGAGCCCTGAGTTCAACGCTTGAAGGTCAGGCGAACCTTTGTAGACAGTTTTCAGCGTCTTGCGAAGCACATTTACATCGTGTATGAAATTGATGCTTTCCAGCCGTAAACCGAGCCGCTGGCCAATTCCATGGGTGACAAGAACTAGATGATCGACCTCTCGCTCTCTGTCCGCGCCGTCCAATTCCCTCGACTCTTCCATCTCTTGTTCCTCCTGCCTACGAGCCTGTTCTTCGAGATCAGCTGGATTTTGCGGCTCGCCTGCAAGGGAGGACATTTGGCGTTCTAATGTTGATTTCGGTCTACTTTCGTAGTCTTCGAATCTATCGGCGGAAGTTGACTTGAATGTATCCGTGGTTTTTTCTGTCTTTTCTTTCAAGACCTCATTCAAACCTCTGGCAGGTACTGCCTCGCCCGGTGGTTTTTGTTTCGGACCCTTTGCTTCTGGCTTCCTGGGCTCGAAACCACGAACCAACTTCGTTCCCGGGACGCCTCCTAGCTTTTGATACACCGAAGTACTGAAACGTGACATAAAATCATCGTGCATCAGCCAGGCCGTCGTGGAATCTTGATACCCGACTATCCTGTTCATGTAAGCGCCAAAGAGACGATACTGCTGAGGCTCCACTGCAGGACCACTGTTGACATCATTCCCTGTGCCACGGGGAGGAGCGTTCGGGTTTCTTGATTGAGTTGGTTTGGGATCTGGTTCGTTGGTGTCAATTGGGACGCTTTTGGTCTGACCAGGTCTATCTTCTTCGTTTGTCTGCGAGTTCTGTTCTGATGGTTGGGACCTCCATGGACATAGTTTGATATAGCCTTCTTCAAGCTGGGTAGCAAGGTTCTCTTCGCATGGTTTTAGGCTAGATCCATCCTGAATGAACCATGTTCCACGACGGACTTCATATACAGGGCCAATCCAATAGGTGGGACTCAACTCTCGTTGTTCCACATCGACGTTGAAAAGAAAATCCTCGTTCACGGGCACTTTGGTCAATACAGGTTCGCTATCGTTTGGCTGGTTTTGTTGGCGGGCATCTTCGATGTCTGAGAGTTTCTGAAACGTCGTTTCGATGGACTGGGAGTCTTTCCCTGGGAAAGGGATAAATTTCTTCGGCGATGGCAAGGGCTTCTGGTCTGCCTTTTTCTGTCCTATAATGGATGGTTTCCGCTTGGGCGAGTCCACTGCGTAGAACCACCTGACTTTCAATGGAGGGCAATCGGGAGGATAGCGTCGCATGCTTAATCGATGCATGTGGGTCACCGTGTGGTCCTCCCCTTGCGATCGCTGCAGGGCTTCCGGTTTTTGTTGATCGACAAGCTGCGGTGCTGGGGTTGCGCTTCTGGGCGTACTCCATGGAGTGAGTGTCCCCAAGAACGACTTTTGCTCTGCACCCGCCATGGGGAGGAGCGCCCGTCGGAAGGCAATGAGACGAGTCAACGTGAGCAACTGGATTGATGAACGGTGGAAGTGCAAGTGGTAAGGTGACTGTTAGGAGAAAGAGAAACAAAAGATAGAGACGGGTCCAAAAGGCGTCAAAAGGCCGATAAAATGTTGGAGTCCCAATGTTTTGGAGATCAGGGAAATGATGTAATCCCGAGTTTGTGCAATTACGTTGTATAACCCGTGCACGTTCCAACTTTGAAGGCCATATATCCATACTCCGTACATCAATATCTTTTCTTGACATAGGCTTAACTCTATATTTCTATATAACCATATTCATCTTTCATCTATATCCCATAGAGTTAGGGGTTATAACCCGTTCACTCGGAAGTTGTCATACGAGGTCAGCGTATAGGTATGGCTTACCTCAGTCATTTGTGGAATGGAATTAGGTAGAAAGAAAAGAATAGGTGAAGGCAGATGAAATACTTCAACGTCCAACATCCTATAAAACAAATAAAACTACCTACATATGTAACTGACTAGGTAACATAGATAGTATCTATTGTAAGGTGTCGACGTCATTCGAAGAACTTCCCGAATACGAGAATACAAGAACATGGTGTTACTGACATGATACTTACGCGCCCATACAACAATACCCTTAGCGTGATGTACTCTGTATTGCTAACCAAGTACTTTCGTTACGGTGTGGCTCATCCCACCCCTCGGTTCGTGTATACCTGGTTGCCTTTTCGCCCTGCACTGCCCACCTTTAGCACAGATCGGATTTCTTCTAATCATCTGCTTTCTTTACCTCTTGACAATTGATCTGTCCAGGGTATAAACACTACTTTCTCTTTTTTGTCGAAACCCGGTCTTCCCTGGGTGATCAACCCCACCTATTTTGCCAGGGTTGTGATTCTGACAAGATGAACGCCCTCAAGCTTCAGAAGTACATTCCCCCGCTATTCTATTCAATGCAACGATATGCTGACCATGTGAATACTATAGGCGTTTTCCGCAGCTTGATCAAGGCGAGATCTTTTCGCTCCAGGATGCATTCAACAGATTGGACGTCGAAGACCGTGGCTACCTTGATGAAACTACCGTGATCAAAGCTACCCAACAATCGGAACGCCAGCCGTATGATGTGGTGCGTGCAGCTTTGAAGGATGTGGAACTCGATAGCTCCAGGCGCGTGGAACTCGAAGATTATGTTGATGTAATACAACTTCCCCGCTTCCTTTTCCCATCCCGTTAATATTAACGCTATGGCAGCTCGTCTCGAAGCTTCGGACAGCACCCACCGAAGGTGCCCGTGCAGCAACTACCCCCGCGGCCGTGATTCAAGGGGCTGGCGCTGGCACTGGGACATCTCGGCATGTATCCAAAGGCAGTGTGGGTGGACGAATCCATGTTCAGGGATCATCTTCCAATGTCACGCATACGATCAATGAAGACGAACGAACCGAGTTCACGCGACACATCAATGCCGTCCTGGCGGGCGATGCGGACGTCGGCGACCTTCTACCTTTCCCCACCGATACATTTGAGATGTTTGATAAGTGCAAGGATGGCTTGGTCCTGGCAAAGTTGATCAACGACAGCGTACCAGACACCATTGATGAGCGTGTTCTGAATAAGGCCGGGAAGAAGATTAAGCAGCTGAATGCTTTCCACATGACCGAAAACAATAACATTGTTATCAATTCTGCCAAGGGTATCGGATGCTCAGTTGTTAACATTGGAAGCGGGGATATCATCGAGGTGCGCGAACATCTCATCCTGGGTCTCATCTGGCAAATCATCCGCCGTGGTCTGCTTGGAAAGATTGATATCAAACTCCACCCGGAGCTTTATAGGCTTTTGGATGAGGATGAAACTCTGGAGCAGTTCTTGCGCTTGCCTCCAGAGCAGATTCTCCTTCGTTGGTTCAACTATCATCTCAAGAATGCCAAGTGGGACAGACGGTATGTCCAGCCCGAGGGAGAAAGAAATTAAGACATGTGGCTAACCGATGTAGGGTGACAAACTTCTCTACCGATGTCAAGGATGGCGAGAACTACACCGTTCTCCTTAACCAATTGTCACCCGATGTCTGCTCGCGTGCCCCTCTCCAAACTCGAGACTTACTTGAGCGGGCCGAGCAGGTCCTCCAGAACGCCGATTCGCTTGATTGCCGCAAGTTCCTGACCCCAGCCTCATTGGTTGCGGGAAACCCCAAGCTGAACCTTGCCTTTGTCGCCAATCTGTTCAACACCCACCCAGGACTGGACCCGATCACCGAGGAGGAGAAGCTCGAAGTTGAAGACTTCGATGCTGAAGGTGAGCGAGAGGCCAGAGTGTTCACTCTGTGGTTGAATTCCTTGGATGTGCAGCCGGCGGTCAACTCGCTCTTCGATGACCTACGCGATGGCTCTATTTTGTTGCAGGCATACGACAAGGTCATTCCGGGAAGCGTGAACTGGAGACATGTCAACAAGCCACCAGCCTCTGGTGGTGAATTGATGCGGTTCAAGGCCGTGGAGAATACCAATTATTCGATCGAGCTTGGGAAATATAATGGTTTCTCTCTTGTCGGTGTTCAGGGCGCTGATATCACTGATGGCCAGCGAACCCTCACTCTCGGATTGGTTTGGCAGCTCATGCGCCGTGATATCACCAACACACTCTCTGCGCTGGCCCAACGGCTGGGCAAACGCGAGATTACTGATACTGAGATGATCCGCTGGGCCAATGATATGTCTAGCAGTGGCGGCAAATCTTCCACTATACGCAGCTTCAAAGACAAGTCTATCGGATCTGGGATCTTCCTCCTTGATGTGCTCAACGGCATGAAGAGTAGCTATGTGGATTACGATTTGGTCACGCCCGGTCGGACCGATGAGGAGGCATATGCAAACGCTAAGCTTTCTATCAGTATCGCCAGAAAGATGGGTGCTACCATCTGGTTGGTCCCGGAGGACATCTGTCAAGTTCGGTCTCGTTTGGTCACTACGTTTATTGGTAAGTTCATACTTTTGTCGATATGGCAGAAGTTTCAGTTTCTAACAGATGATAGGTTCCCTTATGGCTACCCACGAGAAGATGTAAGGAATACAACAGTTCACCTTGGCCAATTGTTATGGCATTGCATACCTCTTTTGTCTCCTCCAATACATGTAAATCTGCCGCTTCTCCAGGCGAAATCTAACCAGGTGTGGACTTCAATCAAAGCTTTATTGTTACCATGCTATGTATTTGCCTCTCCGATTAAAGGTACTGATCAAACCATGCGACTGCCTGCAAAAAGGCAGACTCTTTGGCAAAGCGGATTGTCGGCTTAGTAATATCTGCGCGGACAGCGAACCCATGCTCAACGCCACTGAACAAGTTGATCTGGTACGGCTGGCCAGTTCTGGCCAGGATATCCTCGGATTCATGGCGCTTTGAGGCCGGGAAGATTGAGTCGGTTTCTATCAATGTTTAGTAAAGATGCTGTAGCCGGATCATATAATAACTTACCAGCCGCAGCGATGGACAGTGGGCCTTTGATTGCTTGTAATTCCTCCGCGTCGACAAAACTGGGGTGTGCCACATAGGCGACATCGCAGAGGCCTGGCTGGAGCAGTCGTACGGCGTATTTTGCCTGTATTTGTCAACTCGGGCAGCAGTAAGACATATGCGGGGTATGAACATACCCCGAAGCAATATCCGACAGCACCAACTCGCTCGCAACCCATGTTAGACTTCATTTCCTTTAGTATCGCCCGTACCACGGGTTCTACGCGGTCTGGTAGATGACCTGGGGGCCCTTTTAGCCAGGTCATCAGGTCGAAGCCAGCGGGGCGGTTGTTCAATGGCACCGGATCACCGTGGAATAGGTCGGGCATGACGACCAGGTAGCCATTTGCCGCTAGCTGGTCTGCAATAAGCTGCGCATTAATGAAGCTGTGGCCAATTACATCGGTAAGCAGCAGGATGGAACGCTTGGTAGAGCGCTCGGGGCGTGAAATGTAGACCTCGACTGTGACCGTCAGCGAAACTATAGTCTATCTCCAGAGAATGGGAAGTATGGACCATCGCCAATTTGTTGGAGTTGACCCTTGGCTTCGCCTTCATGTTTAACGCCAGTGGCGCAACAGGCAGCCGGTGGATTGGATGCCATTTTGATACAACCAAAGGAGTTGACAAAGCAAGAGAGTGTGTGTAAGAAGGATCTCGGGGTGGGGAAGAGTATGGAGAATATATAAGGTGGGGGCTATACGATACAAGGGCCCGTGCTCGTCGAATTCGGCAAAGTAAATATGTGCATGTCAATAGGTTGTGCCTCGAGGGTATAACAATAATGTGTATCAAATCAAGAGGCGGGCGCAATGTAGCTCTATAACCATGTGGATGCGTTCCCATTATCGTCGCCATGGCCTCCTGTCCAAGTCGTTGCGAGCCGTAGCATATCAAGTAGAAGGTCTCAGTGAAGCAGTGACTATCCATGGATATCTAGGTATCATATTAGATCAAATCAAATGATCAAATACAAGCTGCCTAGCAGACTTGCCTGTAAAGATGCCCAGCCAAAAGACGATATTGCCTAATAAACGGCCAGCTCGCATCAAGCGAGTCCGACTCAGCGCAACAAGCGGTAGTTGAGACATCTGAAGGATTAGTAGATAACCCCAGAGCAGCCGGAAGATGCACAACATGAGCAGCTCATGTACGCATGCAGATAAGAGAAAAGTGATGAGACTGGCAGATACCCGCAACAACCGGCGTTCGCTGATGGAGGATAGGTCAGCAATGTAACAGTGCCGGGGGCAAATCTTTGAGACTGACATTCTGAATGAGCCAACCAAGGCCGTTCTAGCGAATGTATCCCTTGAGTACCACTCGTTGTAGTATCAGACAAAACCCCGTGGGCCAACAAAGAAGCAAGTCAGTCAACCCGAGAACCATGACATCTTTATCCATCGTGAGACGGATAATCTCATTCTTGCCCCCTATGCTGCCATAGGTTCTCCAATTATTGGCACCAAGCCTGAACAACATCAGGGTCACCCCCATCCAGAAGAGAACCAAAAGGTCCATGGAACTGAGGGGCAGTAGTCCCCAAATTTTGAAAAGTACTCAATTGCCGGTGAATTCCAGGTCCTTGAAACTGAATTTCCGTTTCTCACCAGACTGATGTGAGAGATTGTAATTGAGAACTTCCTGTAAAAGCTCGACATCCTCTGCAGTGAGCAAGTATTGACCAGCTTGCTCAGTCTCGGTCGATTCTGGTTCGAGTCCGTTATGCATCATGTACTCGGTGGATTTCAAAACTCATTGAAGATCTGTTATTCTTTCCCTTGGTGCGGTAAAATGCGGTGCGGCAAATGACGTTCTGTGGAGCTGTCCTAGATTGGAGTATCCAAGGATAGGAGAGTGTAGTGTACTATAAGTTCAAAAAAAGACAATAAAAGCAAAGGTCATCAAGAAAGTAGAGATTTACACACAATTATAAATTAAATAGCTATAAATTTCCGTATCACCTGAAATTGCTTCTGCGCCTTAGCTCTCTGCCCTGGAGGTTTGGTCTTGCTCATCTCCTTACCATTATACCATACAAATCCATTGGCCATTATTCCAATGGATTCACCACAAACACCCCAAGTTCGGGTCCCTGGCGAAACCGAATCAACCCAACCCGAACCCAACGCGACTGTGACGGTGACTGTGACCGCGAACCACGACTGCACCGAGATAGAGATGGGAGGAACACAGGACACAAGCCAACCTGAACCCGAACCTGCTCAACAAGATTCCACACTTCCAGATGTGCAGGCAGAGCCAGAGCTAACTCCTCCGGCAAAGAAAAGCGCAGGCTTCAACTTCCTTGAGTGAGCATTCTTTTCCCAAACCTTTCGCGACGAAAGTCCCTTTTCAGAAATGGCTTCACGTTCCATTATCCCAATTATTACCCGCCAGCTCACAACCACTCGTAGATTCCTGACTTCACCTATCGTTGAGATTATCGTTGGGAAAGGAGACGATGAGACCGTTATGACAGCTCATCAATCCCTCCTGATGGAGGCGCCACTATTAGCCGAGTATGTTGAGAAGTTTGAAGCTTCAGGCCCGGTGAGCTCACACATTTATATCCTTTCCACGGATTTTTTTATACCTCTTATACTAATTGATTGTGAAACAGCGACGTATCAGCCTGCCAGAAGAGAACGTCGATGCCTTCGGTTGCTTCCTCCAGTTCCAGTATACACGTGATTACACCGTGACTCGAACGGAAACACCTGGGGAGACAACCGAAGACAAAAGCGGCGACGAGTTGCTGCGCCATGCGCGCATCTACACCCTGGCAGAGAAACTGGGCCTGCCAGACCTCCAGCGCATTGCCCATGCCAAGATTCATAAGGTCAAGAGTTCACCTGTCGCGGAGCTTTCATATGCCCGTTATGTATACACTCATACACCAGCAGCAGACAATACCATTCGGAAGCCTGTGGCGGCTTACTGGGCGAACCAAAGCCACGTGCTACGCCAAGAGGTTGGGGACGATTTCAAGAAGCTCTGCATTGACGTGCCGGAGTTCTCATTTGATGTTTTAACTATCATCCTGGACCGCAAGCTGAAGAACGTATCGGTGGATGAGGTCAAGGGAAGTGCGCGCAAGCGCAGAAGAGACATCTAGTTATTGGTTGTACAATCACATATCCGAGGATCAACGATGCTTTCTTATCATACTTTGGTATGGACCGGGCAAAATCTTGTTAATGGCCGCAGAGAAACTGCTTTTTATAAGGCCAGGCTCTCCACCTCCTCAATGATTTTCGGGGCCGTTGTCAGATTCTCAGAACCATCCTTGGTGATGAGGATGTTGTCTTCGATGCGCACTCCTCCCACACTCCAATACCGCTCCAGGACCTCGGTATCGATGTACTTACCAGTCTCGGGGGCCTTTAAAACGGGATCGATGATGAAGCGACAGAAATAAATCTGGTAAATAATAAGAATTAGGCGTTGAAAAAGAGGGTCCTTAAAGGGTAGTACTTACACCGGGCTCAACGGTGACCACAGAGCCAGCAGGCAGGTTAGCGCGAACACGCAGATAGCGGAACATGGTATCCTTGTCCTCATAGTTGGGGTTACCACCGGTATCATGAGTGTCCATTCCCAGGTAATGACCGAGGCCATGGGGGAAGAAGGCCACGCTGACACGCTTCTCGAACAGTTCGTCCTCGGATCCGCGTAGGATACCCAGCTTCAACAAGCCACGGATAGCAATGCGATGTGCCAAAGCGTGTACGTCATCCCAGCATACGCCTTCCTTGAGCACCGCAATACATTCCGTCTGCATCTGGAGGACAATCTCGTAAATCTGACGGGTCTCAGGCGCAAACCTTCCATTCAGAGGAATGACACGCGTGATATCGGCGCAGTAAGTTTGGTATTCACCGCCAGCATCGATGAGAACATTGTTCTTCCGCTGCTTAGTGACAGGGTCGACCAGGTCGACATCGTTTCTAACGTAGTGGAGAGTAGCACCCCCCTCACCTCCAGCAACGATAGGGTGGTAGGACTGCTCGCGACATCCATTGGCAATGCAAGCGCCGATAATAGCAGCCTCAATCTCGCGCTCGTTAGTCGCGGTCTTGGAGGCCTGGATAGCAGCGATGTGCGCTTTGGTCGAGATATCATTTGCCTTTCGCAAAAGCGCAACCTCGTACGCATCCTTGACGACACGAGTCTCCTCGATGGCGGCCTTCAAGCTGGCGGTGTTTTTTTCAGCAAAGCCCTGGAAGCTCGTGCCCTCTGACACCTGTTCGGCGATTGCAAAAGCAGCAGTTTGTCCATTATGGTTCGAGGCGATCGATGCCAAAGTCGAATTCACATCGGTTGTGAACAGAACGCGGTCCACATCGTAGAGCTTGGCAGCCTCTTCCGGAGACAGAGGAAGACCGGACCAGATAACTGACTCTGGGTCGATCGGTGGAATGAACAAAGTCAATTCATCTTTGACGGCATCGTATACCACGGCGGCATTGGGCAAAAGACATCCAGTGAGATAGAAGAAAGGCCGACGTTGCCTAAACCAGGATTAGTGTCAAATCTAGATCCCATAGGAATGCTGCATTACCTAAATGGCATATCCTCATCGCTATCCTCGATCAATCGAGTTTTTTGAGCCTCAAGGTAGATAACTCCGGCCCCGCCATGGCGGGCCTTAAGAGACTCAGCGACACGAAGAGCATGGGCCTTAGCCGGATACTTGGCAGCAAGAATAGTATCCACAGTAGTCATATTCGGTGAATAGTAGAGAAAAAAGGAAAGAGAGAGGGGGAAGAGAGCTCCCAGGTGTCAGGTAATATTTACTAGCAGACGAGGTTACATTGCGGGGCTTAGAAATTCCGCGGTTACTCCAGTGCCGCTGTCAAAAAGCATTCACATGAATATCATACATCATATCTATTCGGATTATTCGGATTATTTGGCTTCTTCAATTCAATACTCTCCAGGGCTAGCTCTCTGAAGCAGATACATCTTCAAACTCCATCTCCCATTGGTCCACTTCCGCAAACTTCTTGACGGCCGCGCGCAACTCATCGCTCACGCAACGAGTGGCCTCTGTTTCCACAGATTCGGAATCAGAGACACCGGACTCAGGTGGTGATGACAATGGAGAAGATGATGGTGATGACAGAATCGTTTCGTTTTCCTTGTTGACACCACTCGCTCGAGAACGTGAATACGTAGCTGGCTCTTTGAACGATTTGTCCTTAATTTTCTTCTCTTTAATCTTCTTCTGCTTCGGATTGCGGGCGTTTGCTAATGGTCTGGGTTTGCTTTTCCCTGCCCGTCGCCCGGATGGTCTTTGTGACGGGTAGTTCAGCTCGTCCTCGTCACCAGATGCAGCATCGTGCTGATCCTCACTTTCATCGCTGTAGCCATCGATGGCGCGGAGTCTGCGCCGACGACGTGGTAAAAGCTTGTCCTGCAGGTTTGCTGTCGATAGATGACTCGGAGCTTTGGACTTTTTCCTCTGAACAGGTCGCGGCGTGGAGTCACTAGGTGTAACGGAGCCAGCAGGACTGCTGGCCGGTGGTAACATAGTCTGGCTCAATATTTCTGGGAACCGTTGGGATTGCTGCGTAGCCTCGACTCTTTCAATATAAACTTCCTGATCTCCAACTTCCTCGTCTTCGGGTTCAACCTCCTCATCTTCAGAAAGTTCGTCTCCAATATCATGTCGAGAGTTGTCACGTTGAATCGGGGTCGCAGTTGGAGTATCTTCTACCATATCCACAGGCGACTGTGGTACTTGAATCTCTTGGGTCATGCGCTTGCGCTTGCGCGACCCGCCGGGCGAGAGCGGGGATTCGGACGGTACCGGGGAAGACGAAGACTTATCGGTTGGTTTGATAAGTAGTGACTTTCCCCGAGAGAGATTCAGTGGTGTAGATTCATCATTGGGGCTAAGCCCACCAAGGAAGTCATCATCATCAAGATCGGAAGAGCCATCGTCGTCGGCTTGCATCATCTGCAGAATGCTTTGCTGTCGCGGCCGCCGCCTGAAGTTGCTCAGAACCGAATTATCGAATCCAGGCGTCCCAGGAACCCGGGAGTTCGAGTCGCCTTTGCGCCCAGCGAATGATAGCGTAGAGGAATAACCGCGCGATCTTGTAGGGGGACGACTGCCAGTTCCAGGTCGACTGCCGGTGCCTGGCCGGTTCCCCGTGGGTGAAGATTCAATTGCTTGTTCATGACTTTTGGTCAAGGGTGTTTGACTGCGTAGCGCCTGTCTCGGATCAAGGGCTCGCTCAGGCTGCGTAGGTGATTTCGCGACGTTGGGGTCAATTTGTTGCGTTGACTCTTCTATCGCGGTGTTTTTGGGCTGACTGTTCCCCGCAGTACGACTTCTTTTGGGGGCTGGACGAGGCATGGTTGAACAATATGTCCAGCACCACGGAGTATGTTATGAAGCCAAAAAGGTTGCGCAGCTACAAATGCGAAAGAAGATCCGACGCGTTTGTTTGGGACGCGTGCACGTGGACCACATGTGACATCGAACTCGATCTATGTACAAAATATGTACGAACATAACTCCTCGGTCTATATTTCGAGCATATGCCGACATATTTTTATATATGCTTATATATACTGGTTTGCTTGTGGTTTTATTGTCTCGCATTTCCCCCTCCGATGTCACAGTTGCAGGGTTATATGCTCAACCTGCCACGGACTCACCCCCGTATCGAGTTAGGCCAATTATGATACAAGCACAAACACATGAAAGACTGCAACGGATTTCTATTAGAGGCCGGCCTTGCATTATGCATTAATGCTCGTGCCCCCAAATTCCCCAGATTATTTATTGGATATCTCTCTCTTTGTCTCTACTCACCTTCAACAATGGTCTGATGCCCGTCATGCCGACCAGCCCCTCGGTTTGGAGTGGAATGCAACATTAAATACAAGAGACAATATAGCTTGGAACAATGACTCTGCCCCCAGAAAACGAGACGGTAGACCCCATAGGGGACTATGCAGTTAGCGACACATCTATCGGCAAGAAAAAGCGCTCGAATACAGAAGCCCCTGAATATCCCAGAAGACGGGCAACAATAGCTGTAAGCGCCTCTGGAATATTCGACCAAGGCAGATTTGACTTTGATTCAGTGTCAGATATGCCGGCTACGCAAAACCAGATGCAATGGGGCTCGTCCCAAGTGTCAACTCTGCTCCGATTTGAATGCGGAATGTGTCTATCGAGAACCAGGTATCAAACTCGACGCTGGCGACAAGCTCATCCTAGATCATTTGACCAGAATTGAGAGTTTGCTACATTCGAATTTACCAATCCAAAGGCCACAGCTCGCCCTGTCCGCTACTTCCCCCGCCACCAGCAACGATACAAACCTCGGTAGCGACGATCCGTCAACGAAAACATCATCCAGCGGCTTGCCGGTACACGGAAAGTTGTCTGCTGTTGGACTCGGTTCCTGGGTCAACATACCTGCCAGTCTAAGCATCTCTACGATGCCCAAGATGCATACCACTCCTGCTCTTCATCTCCTCCAGTGGCCCCTAATTCGGGACTTGGTCTCTGGGGCCTGTGATCCACAGCACCTTCTTCAATTGGAGATGGCCCGCGAACCATTGCGGCTGACTCCAAATTCAGGCTTTGATTTGACAAATGCATCCACGTATGCCCAAGCCTTTTTCAACTATGGGAACGTTTGGTACGCCTGCGTGAACCCCTACACGTGGAATCGATATTATCAGTCAGCTCTCGCGCAAGGATTTCAGGAAGGACCCATGAGTTGTCTTGTTCTTCTGGTCTTGGCCCTAGGGAGCGCCAGCCATAGTGGCAGTATCTCGTTTGTGTCGCCAGATCGTGAACCGCCGGGACTTCCTTATTTTGCCGCTGCATGGAGCTTCTTACCGTCAGTCATGACGCGAAATACTGTGATTGCGGCGCAGTGCATGGTCATGGCCTCTGCGTATCTGTTCTATCTGGTGCGGCCTCTAGAAGCCTGGACCTTGCTATCCAGCGTGAGCATGAAATTGCAGCTGTTGTTTGGGAGTCCCAATCGAATTCCTGCTCAGTGGAGAGAGCTGAGTGTGAGGGTATACTGGAACGCATTATTGTTTGAAAGCGACCTTCTCGCCGAATTAGATCTCCCGCATTCT